TATATATTACTATAATATTATAGTATATATCATATATATATATATATATATATATATATATATATATATATATATATATATATATATATATATATTAATATATTGTAATATACTATAATAGTTCATATAATATATATTAAATATATAACCTGTTGAATATAAAAGTATAGAAAACAATATTTATATAAAATATACATAATAATATAATAAATAATATATATAAAATATATATTATACTGCATATATTATATATAAATATTATATATTTATATAAACAGGTTATATTTAAAAATTCTTTAAAGCGTAATTTCGCGAACCGGCCGCGAGTTAGAATGAAATTACCCTATCCGATACGTTAATAAAATGGCAACTGCGACCGTCAAGCATCCACGAAACAATAAATCGTCTCGCGGTAATTCAGTATCTCCGTGTTGTTTCGAAAAATTCCAGCAAGAAATCGCGAGTTCAGTCGGTGCTCAGTCGGTCTCTGCGCGAACGAAGCGGCTGCTCGAGATTGCAATTAATTTTTTCTTGACGTTCAGCTTGTTACGAAAGCTCGGGGAATGGAGGAATGTTCCTATGGTGGACGGGGAAGAAAGTCGCGCTAAAAACCATGAGAGATTTTACCGGCCGCGGCGCCGTTGGTTTTAGCCGGTGGAAAAGCAAAACCGGACGGAGTTTTCCGCGGACGTTCGCAAAATTCGCCGGCGCCGTTGAAAAGGGCCGCGCGCGAAGTCGCCGGCTCCCACGGACCAGAATTAACCTGTAATTGAACGCACTATCGTACCTTAAAATCGAAGACTTCGCGCCACGATTTTGCGGCATCGGCGACTTTCAATCGGAACGCCGGCTGTTCGTAGTTCGTACGCGACGTGGTCGCGATTTACGCCTTTTTTTGTTCCCTGAAGGTATGCTTAACCCTTTTACCTTGCCGGTGCACTCCCCGAGTTTTAAGCATTTATTACAGAAACGCATAAGTGAACACATGTTTGTGTAACACTGCAAAATGTTGATTACATGTACGAACGAGTATTTTCCGTCGATTACACGAATTAAATTGGAATTGTATTATTTTCTTCGTTATTTTCTTCGTTATTGATTCATCCCTCGGGATTGTTTAATTATATTCGAATAATTATTCTTAATGAGGAACGAAAGGTGATGGGAAATAATTAACGAAATGTGTTTGCTATATGCGATGATGTTTTTAATATGATCCAGAAAGAGTACGATTGTTTATACTTAATTATTTTTATTTTTATTTTATTTTATGTTTCTTTATGTTTTTTATGTCCTTTATATTTTTTATATTCTTTTATTCTTTATATTCTTCACATTTATATTATCCAAAAATTATTGTATGAGCAAGAAATAATAGATTCCTGAGGTCATTTGAAGCAACTTTTTCCTCAGCAAAAATGTTCTACGAGGCTTCGTTTACGAGTTATGAACGAAAAACATGGACCAATCGGAGAGCGAGCGCGGCCGGCGCTCCGCCCTAGCGACCAATGCCGCGACGCGCCGGCCGTCTGGCGCAGCGGCGGAGGTCGCGAGGGCGTGGCGTCAGCCGCGCGCGATCTCTCGTCGGTCACTGTTTTTCGCTGATAACTCGTGAACGATGCCTCGGAGAAAGTTTTTGCAAAGGAAAAAGTTGCTTCAAATGATCTCAGGAACACATTTTTCGCTTGTACAATAATTTCGGGACGCCCTGTATATCTCAAACATGGCGTTTAAAAATTTCCATCACGCTGACAAACGGTTTTACAAGTAACGACGGAAATTATATTGTATAATAAATATTATTAAATTAAAAATATAGAAATAATTAAAACTATTATTTTCCTTCATTTTGCTTCACTTCAGGAAATTTTGCGGTGTCTAATACCGTTTCAAAATGTAGCCAGAAATTACGTGAAAAATGTCCGCGTCGAAATTAGCATACAGCCATGAATAATAACAGAAAATTAATCTGCTGTTTTCCAAGTTGATTCCGTGGCCAACTATGAAAAATTCACACCGTCGGTTACTTCGCGCGTCTATATTTAATGATAACACACCCTGAAAATTAGAACAACCCCCCGGTTGATGTGTCGCCTTCCCTCTCTCCGTAGGATTAATAATAAATAGTCCCGCGTTCCTCCGCACAGTTAATGAACTCGGTCCATGGTAGAACGGCCCTCTCTAATTTTCAATTCAGTAAAAACTGCCCCTGTTTCTTCCCCTGTTTACGAAACCCTGCTCCACCCCTTCGCTGCACCCTCGTAGACATTCCCCGTTTCTCTCTCTCTGTGCTTTCTTAGGCATGTATATTCGAGAATAGAATTTAAATGCCTTAAACTATTATCTCTGGAATTAGCATCCGAGGAATTCGGTAGATATGTAGCAGAAGATATCATCGCGAAACACCGAATTCCAACGGTGTTACTTTAACCAAGTACCGTGCATAATCTCTCTGCAACGTTCGTCCGTGAAATTTTTTCATTGCGATACGATTAGGTAACGAAAAAATAGATACACAGGGTATACA